AGAAGTCAAAACCACTTTTCAAATTGTGAAGTCCACCGGTTAAACCAGGTGATTGATTTACTGCTTATTTCGCTTAAAAAACGATAAACGACAATGCCCCTCCACTTTGTATGGACGAAGTTAAGGAAATGGCGGTTTGTATGACAACATTTCGATCGCACTATACAATGCACGGCCTCATACTTTTCTTCTCGGTATATCCGTCTGGCAGTTTGTTACCGTCACATATTAACCAAAAACGTTTGAAATCACGTGAAGCTATATATAAGCTGACCTATTGGCAAGAATCTTGATAAAATTCTGGGGCGAAAATGCAGCTTGATCAAAGAGAAAGTGTACGATGCTTTTCTTTGATAAAGATTGACGAAGGACGCCGCAGTTGTTTATGCTGTGTAGTGTATTCACATACACAACACTAACATTTATAGCATTTTAATGCACAATATAGTGGTTTCGATTTCCACTGAAACGGTCACTTTCAATCCATATAGGTTTTACACTTACGGGATCAGGTTGCTCAATCGCCGTTTCATGAGTACTTACGGTCTAAGAAAACCATAGTCGTGGGAACAAACGATGTGCTGTGCTGCTTTCACAAACGCTAGGCCTAATCAGGTTAACTAGCGGTAACACGGAATCATCAGGGCAGCAACTCAAGTTCAGGTGGGCAGTAATGTGTAGAAAATAGAGGTTGCGAGACCCTCAAGAATATAGTTAATAATAACGACCGAACAACGATCATTATTGAATTGAGCTTATATGGTCCAATATTCAAACCGAGAAACAAGTGTGATGAGCATACCTAGCACAAAATGTATGCAAGGTCGATAGGAAACAACTTCATCCAGTTGTTGCATGAATTTGATGACCCCAGTGTTACTGCCCTCAGCTCCTCAGCATTTTAACTCGGAATGCTTGCATCTGTCCTTTTTCCAGGCAGTCAGTACGTTAACGAGGAATGCTACTAGTTTCAAAAAAATTATGAAGTCCGAGTTCGTGGAGCAATTGGCCCCAAGGTTCACAAAAAAGATTGTTTGGACGCAAAACATATGTTACAAATGTGTTATCCAATCACTGTAACTCAGTCATCCGTACTAGTGTTTGCTAAAATGCACGAGGTTATAAGGTACGTATAGCAAGCGTACGTAGTACCGGACCACAGTAAGCACTCATTTAGCATTGATTCTCACTGACAGTTTGTCGTGATTAAAAACATCCTCTGCTTTCAGTCCTCTCTCCAAACTGTAACTACCTGGATGTTTTGCTCAGGTTTCTGAGCGTTCAACTCGGGCCTTGTGAAAAGTCTATCTTGAGTTTTTCCTCATAAGGCCGTCTGCTATCTTGTTACAACTCCATCAGTTTAGGGGACTGGTGAAACAGTCCGGCTGATTTATTGAAATTTTGAACAAAACATTCGGCACAACGGTTGCCTAAAAGGTGAAACCTATGGGATTACCCAATGTTCTCTTCTCACGACCGTCTCACTGTATGGTTTACTTGATGTGCTCCAAGTAATTCTAAAGATCATGAAATTATTTCGGGGCTCGTTTCACTGTACGTTGCTCCAAGACATTTTTAGCACAGATATATTTTACCTACATGGCAAAGTCCTCAGTTGTAAAACTTAACACCCGCTTCATACAATAAAGCATACCAAACATTACGAAACTATACATTATTGCATCCTCAACGTAGTTCAGCCCATTGTCTGAGATCAAAAGAGTACTAGATTTCTCAGGAAATCGACTGAACACCGAGTCATCTTGAAAAAATTTTACACATCTTGTCAACACACCGTTGGAATTCCACCCAAACGTGTTTTCTTAAATTCATCAAAAAGGTAGAATGAAGATAGCATGAAAAGCCAGAAGCATGCTGAGAGCATTGAGGGCAAAAATAACAATAGATCGATTATTTATATTCACGTACGTATCACGTAGAGACTAGCCAAATTTTAGTCCTTGCATGACAGCCTGCATTGGCTGCTGCGATTACATTACAGCATGGAACTTCGTTAAAACAACGAGAATCTCAGCCATTTTCTTCCGTTTTTATGAGCGGGTGACAACTTTGATGAGCTAAAATATCCCCTCATGGTAACTTTTT